TGTGCAAGTGCTTCAACGCCACCAGAATCTGCGTGATTAGGAACTTGGTGATTCGCTCGCTAAGTCGTCCTCGCTCGGAGTTCAGGATCATTTCCAGCATGTCGCCCTTCAGCTTCTCCATCACTACGAATATTCGCTCCGGCGTCTCGAACATGCGCTCGAGATTCACTACGCCGCTGTGCGACAGATTCTGCAGGATCGCCACCTCGTTCTTCAACTGAGCTTCTTGCTTCGTGGGGAAGCGTAGCTTGTCGATCACCTTGATGGCAACCGCGCGACCGGTCTTGCGGTGAACGCCGCCATAGACTATGCCGAATTGGCCGGAACCTAACACTTCGTCCGGGAAGATCTGATACAGCTGCGACATGTCGGTGATGTTTTCCTCCGGCTCGGTGGACTCTTCTTGATCTGCAACATCAAGCGCGTCGTGATTATCCTTGATATATACCAGAACGTAGCAAACGGCAGAGGTATCAGTGAATAAAGTAAATGTCCCAATTAATAATAAAATAATTTTACTGTGGAAATAAATTAATGAATCAATAATATACTTAAGCTAAGTACACAAAGTTGATTCTGTTGGAGAGTTTCAATGCTTGGAATTATAATAGTATCATATTTTTGTGATTTGTGAAAAGATTTTAATTTATACTTTCTTTCGGGTATGACTATGGTATAAATTATTTAGCGACACGACATTATAGCTTTGTAAAAACTAAAGAACATTTAATAAGTAGATATATGATATTAACTATCAACTTCTCAAATGTCAGCAAATAATCGTTCAAACTGTTATCTTCGACAATACATTTGTAATTATGATATTCCAGTACTCACAAGGAACATCCGCGAAGTGTGTGTCTCCGATTTCAACGAAATTTGGCATATTTGTAGAGTAGCCAAAAATAAGAGACCCATGTTTTTATCGGCAATGGCTCAGGTTTAAGAAGTGAAACTGCCCCTCAAAGTTTCATCCCTTTTATGCTATCTCGATAATTATTGCAGATAGGAAAAAACTTTTTAAACACAAATTGTGCGGCGTAAAAAACTGTACAATTTTTGTTTAAAAAATTTTTTCCTACCTGCAATAATTATCGAGATAGCATAAAAGGAATGAAATTTTGAGGGGCAGTTTCATCTCTTTGCATCTTTTCATCACTTCGCGGTTGTTCCTTGTCAGTACGAATTTTAATTTTACTCAACTTGTTATAACCGATAATATATAAAATTTAGAGTAAGAACACATGTTTAAAATAAATTCGGGGATGTATTAACTAATTTTTGTAATTGAGAAAAATGTAACTGAGAAAAATGCGTGCAACTGTCACTGATTGGGATATTCACCTTAAATACACTTCATTCATTCATTGTATCACGATACATAACGCATGAAAGAGATATATGAAAGTAACAACAAAAGAAAGGCGTGATAGAGATCTTGTATGCTATCATATCGCCCGGAGTGTTATATGATAGCGAACCAAATATACATACTAGTCGACACAGTTACAGGCATAAGTGCTTGTCTAATAGTAGTTTCCCACGATCTAGCTATATGAGCTCCAATACCGCTCTCTGGAGGAGAGACTTGGCCACAATTCTGTCCGTATGATGGATCCTCTCCAACATAGTAATCGACATTGGCAGTTTTTAGCTCAAAGCAATGCATTATATCTACAATATAAGACAGGCAGTGTGTAAGAGGTCTAAACAAGAGAAAGAGAGACAGAGAGAAGCTAATTTGTGTTCAACATGTGAAATTCTCAAAAGAAAAAAAAATAGAAATAATGACAATAATAATAATAAACAAGTAAAAGATATATGCACTTAGGGCGAAAAAAAAAACAAGGTCTAAATTCGCGGACGAAAAGAACATACATGAACGAGGCGTCTTAGCGGTTTCAATCGCTGTAATCTCGGCCAACGGTATCTCCTTGTAATATTTCGAACTAGTTTCACTTTGGAATAGCGTTATAGACTTTGTGTCGAGCCGCCAATAATGCTTCTTTCTCTGGAAAGAATGCAAATCTCGTTAGTGACTCGATACGAAACGGGGAGTGCGAATAGCAACTTCGCATATTTCCATGTGAGTTACTGCACGATCTGAGCAATCACATGGCAAGGGATAGGATTGTCGTCTTAATGCGCCCCTGCGAATACTCACGATCGGATCGCGATGCGTAAAGTGCACCATCCAGCCTTCTTTCAATACTTTAGAACCGCGTCTTTTAGTGTGTTTTACGCTTTGTACTATCCGCATCAATGGAATGTTGTTACTCGGCGTGGAACTACAACTGTTTCACGATAAAAAGAGAAAATATGGTGACATATGTGTGCGTTGAACATGTAAAAGCGTGAGGATATCGCTTATCAGAGCAAAACACTCACCTTGACGGTCGGGACTTCTGATTCTCGTCGTAAGCAATGTCATCGTTACTCTGAACATGATCCTGCAACAAGCACAAATTTTACTCCGAATTCTTACTTTTTTTACTTCTCCTTGCTTTACGATCCTGAATACGCCGTGCGTAAACAACGCAAAACTTACTGCGTAATCGTTAGGTATTTTGTTCTCATCGTTTGTGAGCGACATGTCTTGCGACGGCGGCGACGATTCCGTGTCACTATCAACATCGACCTCCTCATTTCTGATATCACATTTGGCTTCTAATTCGCTGCCGACACCGCTATCTGGATATTCACCTATGTACATCGCAATCAGTTACACGTTTATATGAAGATTTGCGATGGATCTCTTTGTAGAACACAAACAAAAGTGATCAGCTACCTATATTGTCTCGTAGATTTTCCCCAGTACAGTCTTTTGGTATTTTATCCATACACTTTTTGTGCGTATTGTATTGGCAATCTTTACATTGTAGGCCTTGCTTAAATATACCCTTCAGCAACTTTTTACAGTGTCCACATACAGTCGGACGAGTATACGTGTGTACTACGAATGTGTGCGGGATTTTTATTCGCGTCGCGAGCTCTCGCTCAACCCAGACTGGTCGTCCTCCTAATGACGGCGTGGGAGATTGTTTCGGTGCCATTATACTTGGTATTGCCTACAAGTATACAGCACACATTTATATTCGTAATATGACACACACACACACACACACACACAGAGAAAAAAGAGAAAGCTTCATAAATAAAAAGAAACAAACGAAAAGAGAAGAAACGTATTAACGTATTTATTTGCATTCGCAAAAAAATAATACATTAAAGATAAATATGATATTTTCCCTCATACCAATGTACTATTATTTTGGCTTGTGTTAGGCGTGTTATTTGAACTATGATTATCATCAGTGATACTGGTCAGACTGCTAGTGGAGCCCTGACTCGGCGATCTTGGCACATTTAACATTGCCGAGCTGCGCCTTCGCTGACTACCATCTTGCGAACAGTTGTTCGGCACTTTAATGACACATCTTTTATGGTAGTTCATGCCACAGCCTGCAACATAAAAGCAAGTTTCGAATTGCGTTGAAAATGTGAAAGGAATATAAGTCTTAATGTATCACTGGTGAGAGTAGGCGTGCTTTGCTTTGCTTGAAGTATTCAAAAAGATTGATTTACCTTCACACTTGAGACCTTGTCGAACAAGCCCAAACAACATTTCACCACAGAAATCGCAAAATGTCGGGACCTTGTAGGAATGTACTGCTAAAGCGTGAGGACGAATGGGAACATATTCGCTTGGCACTTGTGCTGAAACAGAGCAATTTCTCATAATGAATATAAATTTTCACAATCCAGGATAAAGCAGACGAGAGAGAGAGAGAGAGAGAGAGAGAGAGAGAGAGAGAGAGAGAGAGAGAGAGAGAGAGAGAGAGAGAGAAAGCTCTTTTACTCACCAGTCAAAACAATTTCCACTAATGTCTCATCAACTACTTCTGTAGCATTTGTGATGAGCTGTAGAACATTTGTAGAATTGTAGTCATGCTTGAATAGAAGTAATCTCTCAAAAAGATGATTTAAGCCATGCTCCGGACATTTGGTGTTTATAAAATCACAGGCAAGATCTTTCAGGGCCTTGAGAGTCAGTGTACTACTATCGACAGTGACTGTGTCACGCGTCAGACCAAACTGGAATAAAAATGTTACTTCCACACCCTCCATGATGCTTTGCGTTTCCTGTAATATGTACATAGGATTCATGAAGAAAACAATTATAATGCTGCAGACATTGATTGAAAATATTTTTAACATTTTCAAAATTCTAACACTTATTAAATCATTGGAAGTTTTTATCTCTTCTATAATTCTTCATTGCACCTACAAAAGTATAATAAACGAGGGATTCATATTTTCACAGAGAATAAGATCAGACTTCCCGAGCAAAAAAAAGAAATCAAGAGAAAATAAAAATAAGATTCTATGACATAACATTAGAAAATGATCATTAGAACATGCGTAACACAGGCGTGTATCGCTAAATTCAACTAGCTAAATCGCAAGACACAACATGCAACGATTCTTGTACACGAGAGACGCAAATAATCAAACATGTTTATCGTTCGTCACGGGTTATTTACAAGTAGACATGATCGGTCGCTCATCGTGTCACCGTAGCACCAACAAATTCCAGATGCGAGAGCGTCTCTTTTTCCTTGTGCGACGGAATCTCATCCGTCGGCCGACAAATCTCTGGAGAGACGACGGAATAATAGCGGCATAGATCGCAACGATGGTCGAAGGAACGCACGATAATTTGCCACGGGGAGAGTATATCGCCTCGATAACGCCGCGACTTATCCGCGGCGTAAAACAAATAATTTCGTAATCCGGCTAATTCGACGGATTCGAACAAGTTGCAAATTTTCGCGAAGCGTAGAAAAGGAAAGAAAGAGAGGAGGGAGCGAGTGAGGAAGGGAGGGAGGGGGAGGAAGAGAGAGAGAGAGAGAGAGAGGGAGAAAGATCGGTTAACGGAAGAACCGTACGCGCGTACACGCCGTTTCTCACATTCTTCGACGGGGAATCACACTTTACGTACTTCCTCGTGTGCTTCAAATGACCTCGGGCGATCCGTGCAGAAGACGCGGCTGCTTTTCTTCCCGGACCGGGATCAGAATTGCGTCGGCATAATTGACAAAGCGGACGCAGCTCAAGAGAGAGGAAACAGGCAGGCAGACAGGCAGGCGGGCACAGGCAGTCAATCAGTCAGCCAGCCAGCCAAGTATCACCGTGTGCGGTGGTGGCGGCGTCGTCAAGTCCATGCTTGACACACATTCGCCGATGACATTTTACAGTTATCTCCAGGTGACCGACCCACGTTGACGCAGTACGAAGCTTCCCTCGGTGGCAGTTAGTCAGCCAGCCAGTTAGCTCAGGCCAGCTCCAGTCAAGCAGCCGCAGAGCCAGCCAGCCAGCGAGCATCCAGTCGGTTAATCCGTCGCGACTAATCGCTTTCTATTTCCGGGACCCTTCTAACAGCAGCGCTCTGAACAAAAGAATCGAGGCAGCATCTGAAGCATCCGTGGAAGCAGTCAATGGGCTAATATATCGCGTATAACGTAGGCAGCCGTCGCGATCGTATGTCTCTTGCCGAAGGATCCTTGCGCGAACGGTTTGCTCGTGCCGCGAAAGGACGCCGTGCGAGGACGCATTGTATTGTGCGCTGGACCTCGGCTGAAAAATAACATTGAAACATGAGACTCGGAATGTCGAATCTTAGGTTAAAATCTGCAGATGCAAAAGAGAAGAGAGAGAGAGAGAGAGAGAAGGCGTTTGCAAGTTAGACAGATTGAATATGAAGAATTTACCTTCAGGTAAAAGCCTGTAAAAACGACGCTAGGGAAGCCATATTTTCCTTTCTTGAAATTTGCATTTAGCACTTTGGCTGTGTTCCAAAATTCACTGCCAGCGCTGAAAATTTATAGTTTGCGTGACACAAACTATATATTTTCAGTATTGACCAGAGAGAAGCCTGAGAGCGGGCATGGCTGCATTTACAGCGTTATGGAAAAGTTGGCTGATTCAAAACGCCAACTGGGTCCATTTTTCATGGACATGAACTACTAAGCCAATGTCCACGATTTGTCGGTACTATTCCGTGCTATGTCCATAATTATTTGGTTCTGTTCTGTGCTATGTTCACGAGCGAGCTAGATTAGTTAGATAAAAACGAAGAATCGGTCTTTGTCTCACCACCAGCGAATAGACAATCGCGACGATAAACTGAAGCGAGCCAGCAGCGACGTTATCGTAAAGCAGACGTCGCCGTCCCCCCTTTCATCCCCTTGTTTTTCTTTCCACATTATTTTATATTCATAATTCGGGAAGAAAATAATTTCGAGAGTTCGGATGATTTTTAGCAATGACGCGACAGAGATAACGCGCAGCCACATTAATTTGTTATGATTTTTATATTACTTCCCAGGTAGCAGACTGACGTCAAGTGACGTACTAATGACGTCTTAATGACGTTAGCTAACGTCATTAAGACGTCATTAGTACGTCATTTGACGTCAGTCTGCTACCAGGGTTATAATTACATAAACGCCCATATATGCAAATTATAGATAATTATTGCGCGTATGTTTTAATATTGTACAATATGGTATATAATAATAACAACTTCATTTCTTGTAATTTTTTTAAGATCTTCGTTGAGGTCGTGAGTTAATTTTTTTCTTCATCAATCAGTTTTCTGCAAAAATTACGATTTTTTAAATAAAATATAAAATGTTTCTCTTCTCTTCTCTCCGAAGAGTTAATTAAAAAATATGTACTCCACAGAGTCAACTAAAAAATGTGTATTCCGAAGAGTCAATTTGAAAGCGTACTCTGAAAAATCAAATTAATATTGTAATCCGAAAAGTCAATTTATAATAGAATATTTATTTCGATGATTCAGCCAAAGAAAAAAACATTTATTTATTATTATATTCAGAGAATAATATTTAATTTATTATTTATACTTATCTTACTTATGCTTACCCTACATATGCTTCTTTGAATGAGAAATTTAATTTGTTGACTGATTCAGATTCAGATTTGTTAAAATATCTCTTATGCGCAACTCTTGAACAGGTAGGTAATAAAATAATTTTCTTTCTTTACGAATTTTATTAACTTTTCACGAACATAAAAATTGAAAGATTCTCAGAGAACAAATAACTTTTCTTGAACATTTAAACCAAAGGAAAATATTTTCCCATTAATAAAGAATGAATAATTAATATCTCACACAAGAGGAATCTTCATCCTTGAAATCACCATGCGATTTTGCTTTTAGAAAAGTATAATATTGTTGTGTCCATACATTTGGGGAACGTATTGTTCCCACGCTCTTGGGAGAAGACTGTGAAGAAGGCATATAGAGAATGTTTGACAGCTGTTATCGTTGTCAAGGAGTTTGTTTACTAACAACTAGAATAGAGAGTCCAGGGGGTTCAAACTCCCCGTATTTTTTGGCTCCGGAAGTTCAGTTCAGTGGTCGGTGCTCCAGGCGGCAGCACAGTCGATCCCTCTCTTTTCCTCTCTTTTCCCCTTGCCCATAAGTTGATTTTGACTTGTTTTGCCTTGACAGTTTATCACCGTTTATGGTTAAACAATTCATAGTGCAGCATAGTGCAATTAACGCTAAACGCAAATTTCTTAGTGCTATTTGTGTTTATGTAGTGAATATTTTGTAATATATTATAACGTGTTTTTTTTTTTAGTTGTATAGTAAATTATAGTGTTTAAGTGTATAAGTGATTTATAGTGTTTAAGTGTTTAATTGATAGTGTTTCAGTGATTTATAGTGTTTAATTATTATTAGTGAATAATACTGATTTCATTGCATATATATACTTATTACAATATTTTATATATCCTTATTATATAAGATATTATATTATATATTATTTAGTTTATATTATATTATATATTATTAGTTTATATATTATTTATTATATTACATATTATAATATATATTACATTTCAATTTATTATATAATTTATTATAGTTATTAGTTATAGTTATAGTTATAATACAGTTAAAATTTTAGCTACATTTATAGAAACATGGTGCATAAATGTTGTGTGCCCAATTGCACATCAAACAAAAATATTCCGAGGCACCAATTTCCAAAAGATGTGCAACGAACCATAATATGGCTTGCAGCAATAAAAAGAACAGACCTGATTGGTAAGTGTACATATATATTTCTATATGCTTGTTTATTTTGTTCCTTCTGCCATTCTCTCTCTCTCTCTCTCTCTCTCTCTCTCTCTCTCTCTCTCTCTCCCTCTCTCCCTCTCTCTCCCTCTCTCCCTCTCTCCCTCTCTCCCTCTCTCCCCCTCTCCCTCTCTCCCCCTCTCCCTCTCTCCCTCTCGCCCTCTCTCCCTCTCCCTCTCTCTCTCTCTCTCTCCCTCTCTCCCTCTCTCTCTCTCTCCTTTTCTACATATATATATATATATACAAGGACAGTCTGAAAAGTTCTCGGCCTAACAATTAAAGAAAATTTTTTTTGCCGTGAAATATTTTATTTTTAAATATAGTCTCCTGAAACTTCAATACATTTATTCCAACGTTTTTCCAATAATTCAATACCATCATTAAAGTGTGAATCCGGAAGGTCCTTTTTGCTCTGGTGTACAGTGGTGAATCCAAGTTTCATCGACAGTTATGAAACAACGTTTAATATCCATTTTATTTTGCTTAAAATGATGCAAACACGCTTGATAAATACACATTTGAATGCATTTATGGCCAATTGTTAGCAAATGCGGCACCTATCTTGCACGAAGCTTTTTCAACTGGTGCTGCTTCGAATGCCTTGACAAATCGAATAAAATTTTACATGGGTTTATATCAGGGATGCCATTTTCCAATACAATTATAGTTTGACAGTTTCTAATGCCATGTATATGTTAGGTCGAGAACTTTTCAGACTATGCTTACGTATATACCCCTGTAGCATTCAAGATCATTATGTCACAATGAAGTCACATTATAATGACGTGTGAATGTTCGCATAATCATAGGCATGATATCACTGTGACATCACTGTTATTCACTGTGGGAATTTCACCTCATAGTAATGTCACTGACATCATGTCTGTGATAATGCGGACATTCACATGTCATTATAATGTTAATATGACTTCATTGTAACATAAATGCTTGTGACATAATGACCTTAAATGCATGGGTATATGGGTATATTTTATTAATTTTAAAATTTATTTGATATATGTTTGTGCATTTATATATATATATATATATATATATATGTTAATAAATGCATATGTTTTAAATATAGTCTCTGTTTTATGTGTTACAGGTGTACAAAGGGAAAGATTAGATAAGTTAAGAATTTGCACTATTCATTTTTCAGATGATAGTATTTATAATTATACTCAAAGACGAATTTTAAAAAGTAACGCTATTCCATCCTTATATTTACCGAGTGAAATAAATGACGATAGTGAAGAACCTAGAATTATAATGAATACAAGTTTTATTCCAAATGTAGAATGTAATGTTCCAACAAAAAATGATACTAATGTAACTTATTGTAATTTCATTGATAATAATTTAACTGAAAATAATGTAATTGATAGTAATTTAATTGATCGTAATTTAATTGATAATAATTTAAATAACATAGATAATAATAGTGCAAAATCTAACTTATTAGTCGATTCCTCAAGTACGTTAATCAAAGTTTCAGACAACCTTCGATCATCCCAAAGTATAAGAAAAAATATTAAAAACTTGAAAGTACTCTTGCGCAAGAAGAAAGTCATTATTGAATCACAGAAAAGGAAGATTAAGGAATTACGCAATAGAAATATGTGGGATGATCTGACCGATGCAACTGAAATACAGAAGACTTTCTTCGAAATAATAAGAAAAAATTTAAAGAGAAAACCAGAGGTTTGAGTTTAGATTTTTATATTATTTATTTATTCTTATAAATATATATGTATATATATATATAAATATATATATATATTTTTTTTATAAGTATATATTTTATTAAATATCTATATTTTGTAATATATATATATTTTTATTTTGTACTAAATTTTTGTACTAAATTCTGAAAAAAAAATGTATAATTTAAAGAATCTATAAAATCTTTTCGTATTGAATGAGTGCTCATTAAAGCTTTATTTGGAAATTGGGCACAAACTTTTACATTTATCCAATATTTCCATGACAAATATTACATGATATTCTGTTCTACATGATATTGAAATTATTTTACTTAATGATTAATTATTTTGTTTTAAAAAATTACATAAATGAAACTGACATTGAAAACAATTATTGGTTAAAATAAATTTATAATTTAGTAAATAAATTCTGTAAACAGAAATATAGATGTACACATAAAATTTATTTAAAAATCAAAATAAATATTTAAACTATATAGTTTATACATTTCAGATATGTTTAAAAAAATACATTTTTTAATTATGAACATGTTGAAAAAGTAATATAAGTAATGTTAAAATATAGTAAAATTAGTTATATATTAACAATAATATTTCTATATTATTTTATAAATGTTGGTGTATAATTGCACATAGCAAGAAATTAATTAATAATTATGTAAATAGATATATAATAAGAAATAGAAGAATTATATTTGGAAGAAGAGACAATTAACAATAATTGTCTTGTAAGAAATTAATATATTTAATATATATATAAATATATATTATATATATATTAAATATATTATATATATATTAAATATATATTGAAGAAGAAATTTATATATTTCAGTAATTAATGTATTGAATATTATCTTAGATAGCAGTTATGATTTTATAAGAGAGTTTAGTAATAGAATTGTTCAAGAGTATTATAAGCAAATAATTAGAAAAATTTTTGTTTGAGACTTTTTAAGATTCCTATATATAGGTATTAGGAGCAGTACTGTCTGACAGTATATCTTCAAAGAAAGAAGATAATGATGTAAAGAAAAAAAGAAAGACAGCAGATAGTTGTATACTCACTCAACATATAAACAGAAATGACACTGTGGTAAGTGCATGCATTTTTTTTTGTGTTTGGTTCTGGCTTGAGGAAGACATTTTATTTCTATGCCTGCTCTCTATATATACATATCTCATTCTTTGGCTTTGATAAAAAATAATTTTTCAAATTCGCTTTTGAAACTATCATATCGATTACTGAATACAAAAAGGAAAATTAATAACATTAATTGCCTGTGTGTTATATTATTATTTCTTGTGGATTTTGATAAAGAGTTTACAATTTAAATACTATTTGGAATAAAAGTGTATATCTCCTTATTTTAATAAAGATACAAAACACTTATCTATAATATTTGAAAGAATATTATATGAGTGTGACAATTGTGACAATGATGTGCATCATATGTGTGAGGATTGGGACAATAATATGCATTATATGTGTATATATGTGTGCATAAGGAGCGGAGATAGGTCGGTGAACAAGTGCTGACTTAGTAATGCTAAGACAGTCATGATACCGACTTCAAATATCATCGCTTCATCGCGATAGTTCCGAGTCCGTTTTACCAAAAAGCTGTAGGTCTAAATAAAGATCAGAATAAGAATCAAGAATAAAGCAATCTGTAAAGTCTGAGAGAATGTACCGATTAATTTATACATATCGATACATATCGATTTAACATATGACCGATGTATATATATGTATCTTCTTTGCTACTGTCTCTCTCTCTCTCTATATATATATATATATAAACAAATAAATGCATATATACAAAGAAACATTAATGTATGTATATTAATGCTTATGTGTGTGTGTTTCATAACTACTAATATCTACTTTATATAATACAAAATATTTACATTGTTTGGTTTTTTGCATATGTATGTACAAGCAAAAAAATTTTTGGGAATTAATAATTTTTAATATTTTACAGGGTCAACGCTACAATGCAAAAGAAAAAGCATTTGCTTTAACAATGTACAAGACAATGGGGAAGCGTGCTTACTTATCTTTACGATCAATTTTTAAAGAAATACCGAGTATTCAAACTTTACAATCGGTTTTGCACAGAATACCTTTGTTCCCAGGATTGAACTCTTTCATTCTGAGACATTTGAAAAGCATAGCTTTAAACATGTCAATGAAGGAGAAAGTGTGTATCCTTATTTGGGACGAGGTATCAATACAACCCAAATTTACTTATGATATTCGAAAGGATATCATATGTGGATTTGAGGATTGGGGCAATAACCGAACGCAAAAAATCGCGGATCATGTTTTAGTTTTTATGTTAAAAGGAATAAATTCATCTTGGAAAATACCAATATCTTTTAATTTTTGTAATAAAGTAACTAATACCGCACAATTAATTCGATGCATTAGGGAACATGTTCAAAAAATAAAAGCAGGCTTCCACATTGTTGCAAGTGTATGTGATCAAGGAACTAACAATGTCGCAGCAATAAATGAATTATTACGGCGTACTAATATAACAAGGCATAAAGAGAATAGAGCACAGAGTAAGTAATTATAAAACATTGTAAAAAGAAAGAATTGCAAATTTCGATTTATTTTTTTCTCTATTTACCTTCTGTTTGATAGGGCTTTTGAAGTACAAAATGCAGAAATAATCCCGCTATACGACCCATCACACCTCATTAAAGGTATCAGGAATAATTTATTAACGAAAGATATAGCCATGTCTGTGAGAAATAATATTCCACAGAAAATTGCAAGCTGGGATACAATTAAATGCGCATGGCTTATGGATAAACATTTAAATATAATTCATCCACATTTGAAACATATGACACCGGAACACATAATAGAAGAAAAAATTAAAAAGATGCGAGTGAAACATGCAGTACAAGTACTAAGTGGGCGTATGGCAAGCGTTATAGAAACATTTGCAAGATCAAAGTGTGAGTATTTTTTCCATAAAAATAATAATGTAACATACATATTTAATATATTAAATTAATATTAAATGTTACATGTAATATTAATATCAAATAACATTTAATATTAAATTTAATTTCAAACATAACATTAAATTTAATTTAAACATAATAAAATTGTATGTTACAGTAATTGTATCAATAGAAAATGAAAATGTGAGCATCGACGAAGAAGAGGGACTTGCAACGATGGAAGTTGTGAATTTTTTTAATCAATTATTTGACTCAGTGAATGGAGACAATAAACACAACAATAATGAATTACGATGTCCAGTGATAGAAAATAGCAAACACCATGCGTTTTGGGTGAGTGCGAAAAATATATTAAATAATATGTCATATGTCGATAAAGTGTCGCGCAGCGTATTAAAATCAGTGCCATCATTAAGAAACTGGTTATTCACAGTAGACGGTTTTCAGAAACTATGGAAAGTGCTTTATGATAAATTTGATTTTCATTCATTAAATACGCGTAATTGCAATCAAGATCCGTTAGAAAACTTTTTTGGCCAAATACGAAGTCACGCGGTACGTAATATTAATCCGACACCTAAACAATTCGAGGAATCTTTTTTAACTTTGCTTATAAATAATATGAAGTCTGTTTCAATTAGACACGGTAATTGCGAGATATCCGAAGATAATTGTTCAATGTTGTTCTCTTTAGACAAATATTTAGAAAATATAGCAAATGAATCCATTTATAATGATGATGAAGTTCCGGAATTACTGTCAGAAAATAATGTTTCGAATGATATATTAAACATAGTATCTTTAGGTAATCGGGAACATATAATTAGATCTATTTTGAAGGAAGTTAATTTTTGTACAGAATGTGAAAATAGTCTATTGAGTAGTGAATTTTCAGTTTGTATTAAACAAATTACAGGCGTTATTAATAAATTGTTAAAAACTAGAGTATATAAAAAAAATATTTTAAAAGTATTGTTACAATTTTTAGAAAATTATAATATTAATATGAGTTGGCATGAGTGTGTAGAACATAAAAATATATGTAAAATTATAGTGCATGTGTTAGCTATGAAAATTATAATATTGTGGTGTGAGAAAAAAAATTCTGCGATAAAAAATTCAGATGTAAATATTGAAATACTGCAGCGTAATGTGATCGCGAGTGTTAATAAAATTAAGCAGATGCGTACAAATTTTATAATAGAGCGAACAAAAAGAAATATTATTTTAAAAAATTATAAAGATTATATTCACAAAAAACGGCGTGTGCAATAATATTGTTATATTATTTTTTGAATTATTTAGGTTATATTTATTAATTATATTTAAGTTTTACTTATTATATATAATATATTTATTGTATGTATTTTTTATATTTATTTATTTCCAAAATATTGTATACAATTTGTAATTCTATTTTTATTGTATTTCATTTTTGTAATGGTATGTTGAGTGACAATTGTATGATAAAATTATGTATATTTATATGACTGTGAGTATGAGTAGCTTATTAATAGAGATAGGTAGGTCCTTCTACTCTGATCAATTATCTACCTGAAGAAGTCATGTTTTCCTATAAGAAAGCATGCCTTCAGGCAGTGGTGGTTAGTAGGTGGAGATAAGATCGGAGGAAAGATGCGAAATTCTAGCGAAAGCAGAATATCGCATCTGAGAAGAAGTATAGTGGTATAAAAGGAATGCTTCTAGGATAACTTCTGTAAACAATTTGTTATGTATGTTATTATTTAGTTATGTATGTTATTATTTTATATTATATTAATTTGTAAAGTGTGTATGAATGATTGAGTGCTTGAATGCTTTTATGATGCGGTTATGCACAAATTATGTGCTTTGCATCACATTTTTTAACCACACCGGATATTTTATATGTTTATATCCGACAGTCCGTAGTCTGTTTAAAGTGGGACGGGAAAATGTTATGTAAAGCTTTTTTATATGTGAATTATATTATATATATATATATAATTTATAATTTAGCAATATATGTTACATGATTCAACATTATATTATTATTTTTACTACTTTTTTTCAAATAGTTTACTTATTATATTTACCTGTTATATATATTTTGTTATATTTTAATTTTTGTGCAACAAAAAACTAATAAAAATAATATGTAATTATGTTCTATTTAAATGTAATTAAATGTACAAATGTATACATTGATAAATAATGTAATTAAATGTACAAATGTAAACATTGATAAATATCTTTATGTGCATTATGATATATTTTAATAATATAATATTAACGTATATATATTATAATCCTCTCAATAATATTGTTTGCAAAAAATAATAAAGTGATAAGTTTCTGAGCGATGTTGTTCAGTTTAACTATTATTTACTGTACTTAAGATTATAAATGAAAACTATTTTAAATTTGTGAAACATTTTTTACGTAGTCTTAAGTAACGTAAATAACATTTAAACTTTACAATATCGCTCAGGAACTTATAAATTTAATTTTAATATCTATAAGTATGTACCACGCGCGCGCGGTATGATTTAAATATGGCGGCAACCTCCCTACCACTCGTTCCTTAGTTCGTTACTTCCGGGCTGGTGCTCCAGGCGGCGTTGAAAATAGTGTCCCCTTCTCACAAGAGGCGAGTTTTAACCCTCTGAGAGAGTCGCTCTAGTCCTGTCACGGCGTACGGACGTAAAGCGAATTCGTGTGATTATTTTGAGATTGATTAAGATCCGTTTTTCTTGGCTGTAAATAAAGCTTTTCTCGTTTAGTTTATCCCGAGTTATTTCTTTCACGCGCGGGCACAACAATATTGATGTAATAGTAACAAATGCTATCCAAAAACGGTGCAAATCTTAAACGTTTTTGAGAAATGCAGTTTGAAGTTTAGTCTTTTCTGTTAATGTCGTTATAGCAGAAGAATTACCAATTTGCTTCAGTAGCGCAGGGGATCAGGCTTTGTGATATGAGCGTAGAGGTTGTTCAAGTGTGTTATTTTTGCTATCACAGGGAAAACTATGTAGAATGTATAATAATACGCAGACAAATTCTTTACATAATCATATTTATTTCTTTTAGCATGAATAAAAATGATCAATGCTAACATGATAAGTGTATATCGCAATTGTACGTGTACGTGTACACTCGTGAACTAATATGTGCACCTATTTTTTGTTGACTTCGGAACGCGCTCCAACTTGAGAAGAAAGACAACCATTGCTTCATACGTCAGCACTGTCACTTATTACGAGCGCAGAAGGATGGCATATACGAGTGTCAAATAAGTAGTGATTGTGGCGTAGACACAAATGTCTTGGAGACTTACTCTACTATTAACATTAAAGAAATTATGGTTTATAACTTTTTTAACTTACACTCAAATTTAAAAATATTTTTCACTTAAAATATTATTAGACAATTAATACTCTCCTTTAATATGCTGTTTTACAAATTTTATGAAGCCTTTTGCCACTTTTCTTCACAATCACTATTTGTTTTCTTCATTTCTTCAATTATAACTCAAAGTCTCCAAGACATTTGTGTCTACGCCACAATCACTACTTATTTGACACTCGTATATGCCATCCTTCTGCGCTCGTAATAAGTGACAGTGCTGACGTATGAAGCAATGGTTGTCTTTCTTCTCAAGTTAGAGCGCGTTCCGAAGTCAACAAAAAATAGGTGCACATACCTTTTAGTTCACGAGTGTACATCGGACATCCTATAGGTCCGATGTCCAATAACGACATCCTTGTTACGTCCAATTTATGTCCACGGACGTAAATCGGACATACGGACATAAATTGGACATGAAACGTACATTCATTAGATGTCCGGTGCTGTCTAGGAAGTTCGTCCAAAATTTGGCTACTAAACCTTGGTTCATTAAATTGAATCATGTTAATAGAAGCGTTATTACTCTGATGGCTAGACTACAATCTCATCATACTTGTACAACATCACATATAACAAACAAATTCAACATGCAAGATTGCTCTTATGAATGCGGATGGTTTAATCGTGATTAAGAACATATTTTGTTCAGATGTCCTTTAAGCCAGCGGCACACGGTGCTTTTCATGCTGGATTGCTTGCTGCTGATGGATTTCCATCCATCTTCGGAAATGTACCAATCACAACGCAATATTTTCATCCAGCAAGCAATCCAGCATGAAAACAAGCATCGTGTGCCGCTGGCTTTATATGCAGCCGAATCTGACCATCTACTTTTAAACCTATACCACAAAGGTTACACTACTCATGCTCAGGACCTAGAAAAACTTGTCTTTGACCCCAAATGTTTCTCTATCTTTGCTGAAATTGATAAATTTCTCAAAGCCACTGAACAATCCACTTAAATGGAGCATTTAAATTGATCACACCAGGAGAATAGCGTAGGGGCTTAAGCCAGCGGCACACGGTGCTTGTTTTCGTGCTGGATTGCTTGCTGGATGAAAATATTGCGTTGTGATTGGTACATTTCCGAAGATGGATGGAAATGCACCAATCAGAACGCAGTATTTTCATCCAGCAAGCAATCCAGCAGGAAAACAAGCACCGTGTCGCTGGCTTTACTTCCACAGTGGTGCGATTCTGTAACTCGTTATTGGAGTTAACGATAGTTTCGTTATCGTTGCGCAGCTTTTCTACGGTATACAAGAGCTGCGCAACGATAACGAAAGTGTCGTTAATATTGTCCAATAATGAGTTACAGAATCGCACCACAGGGCCTCAATTCTGTACACGCTTACCGACAACTATCGATATCGTTAACGGAGTTGCGCAGGTTTTCTACGATATACAAAAGCTGCGCAATACAGTTAACGACATCGATAGTTGTCGGTAAGCATGTACAGAATTGAGACCCAGGCCCAGAGCCATCTATTGAAGGAAGGAAGGAAGAAGTAGGACCAAGAGTGTAAAGAGTGCAACAAACGAATAGCTCTGCTGCATATTGCGTGATTTCAGCGAGTAAATACAGAACAGGTAGGCTGCTCTTTTCTTTGCTACATTTATAACGGAAAACGACAAGTGGCGAATCGTGACTTTTGAACTGCAACTTACAAGAACGAAGCTCTGCTTTGAATTTGCAATAATTCATATAATCTGTAACGTTATAACCTAAAAGTATATCATTGTTTCATCTTGAAAACTGATTTTAGTTTTCCACGTAAAGAACTTTTTAGTGACATTTGAACTATTGATCGTTTTTGAAAGTACTTGTTAATCATTTCAAGTTGATATCGAGTTGTAAACAGTTATGCCTCGCACAAAGAGAATCAGAGCGGTGAACGAAGATTTGCAAGCATTCGCCTATTCGCGGACGAAAAGATTAAAACGAACGGACACAATTTCGTCAGAGCTAAGCAACGACAAGACATCAACAGATCTGGATTCTAATACAGAAAAGAATGGAGATGCAGTTGCACATACAATGTCTACACTCTCTGAATCCATCGCCGACAAACTTTTGTCAGTCGAACAACAACTCAGTACTAAAGTACAAAGTATCACTTTTCAATCGTCGGTACAGTATATTTACAATCCACTCGAGTATGCATTCGATACGCATGCCATGTACGTACGCAAATACTGCAATGGTTCAAAGAAGATTCTGTTCCTTGGAATGAATCCTGGACCTTGGGGCATGTCGCAAACTGGTGTGCCATTTGGAGAAATTAGTATGGTGCGCGATTGGCTTAAGATCTCTGGTTCTGTTGGCACTCCATCGAAGGAACATCCTAACCGAAAAGTCACAGGATTCCAATGTACACGTAGTGAAGTCAGTGGAAAAAGACTGTGGGGTCTTTTTCAGGACTTATGTGGTAGTCCTGAAAAGTTCTTTCAAAATGCATATATGCATAATTATTGTCCCCTTGCACTCATGGATACTAAAGCCCGCAACATCACACCGGCAGAATTGAAGGCAATACTTTTGTCTCAATATGCTTTTCTGTGAATACTTAACTATCTAATACCATTTCAGGGTGAGGGACAAGAACTTTTGCACAGAGCATGTGACAAGTCCTTGGTGGATGCTGTACAACTTTTGAAAGTGGAGATTATTGTTGGGATTGGCAAGTATGCAGAGAAAAGAGCACAGATTGCAGCTCAAACAGCAGGTCTCCAAGTACAAGTAATATCTTTTTACCTCTTACTTATTGTATCATTATTTATTTTAGTATACTGAGATTTTCTGACTTTTATTCTTTCTCTCAGGTGATGTTCCTGCCACATCCGAGTCCAAGAGCTGTAGGCAATGGGAACTGGAATGAAAAAGCTATACAGCACTTAGAAGAGTTGAAGTTAATGAAGTTTTTCAAAACTGCAGATACTTAAAGCTCACACAATATACAATTGTAAAGTGTGTATTTGAGACAACATACAATAATGACCTTAAAAGTAGTTAAAGTTTTCAGTTAGATTTTATTTTTTAAGGCAACATTTGTTTCTTTTATAAGAATTGGTATTTACTCTCACGACGAAGTTACAAGTTTCATGTAACTACTCTCATGAGTTCATAATTCATAATTCTTTGGATAAAAAAATCATTACCTATAACACGAGAAAAGTCAGCAAATTACATTACGTCGTCATTAACAAATGGTATAATATCTGTTAGTATGGATACTTTGGCTTGGATGGATGCCGCGTTACAAAAGGCTGAAGAATCTCTACGAGAGGGTGAGGTTCCTGTAGGCTGTCTGTTTGTGTACAACAATGAGGCGATCGCAACAGGCAACAATACAGTGAACGAGACCTGTAACGCGACTCGCCACGCGGAGATAAATTGTATCGATCAAGTGTTGAGGTTCTGCAAGGAAAAGCAGCTGGAACATGAGACGGTATTTCGTAATCTCGACGTAATCGTCACGGTGGAACCGTGCATAATGTGTGTGTCGGCGTTACTTCAACTACGCGTACGCAGTATTGTGTATGGCTGTGCGAATGATCGATTTGGCGGTTGTACTAGCGTCCTCGAGGTGCCGAACTTTTACGATCCGAAGATAACGATACAAGGAAATGTGAAGGCGGACGAAGCTATGAAATTGCTTAAAAACTTCTACAAAGGCACCAATCCAAACGCGCCAGAGTCAAAAGTCAAAAAGGGCCGTAAATCGAAGGGAATTCTCTTAACAGATAACAATTGATTTTCCTCGTGTTACGCGTTTCTTTTACGCGTTTATGTTTGTACGAGACTAATTTATATTTAATGTATATCATTCCAATAAGTGTAAAATATTGATTTCATTCTCAATAGTTGGACTCATTCGCGTCAACATATCATTCAACTGTGATGAACTGTACAGTCTCTTTATATTCTGTATGTACAACGTACTAGTAGATAATAATAATATTTAATCCGATAATATTATTTATCTCTATCGCCTATGTTCCATACGTTGTCAAGTGTTTTTTCTACGTATTTTAATCCTGACTCTGCAACTGTATGTACATTTTTATAAACGGTATCAGAAAAAAAGCAGAAAGTCTATTAAACAGTATGTCAGTGCTCTTTACGATGTGCTTTCGATTCGTTCAGTACCTTCACTCGTCTTCTGAACATCAAATGCACCACGTCTTGTCCAATTCACATTTCCCCTGGTACCACCTGACAAGCAGCTGATTCCTGAGCGTGTAATTTTTCAAGATCATGTCTTTTCTCTGCAAAGTATATATGTGATTATAACATAATATATATTTGATTATATATTATATATGAAAATAACACTAGGAAACACACATATTACTTCAAGACTTACTATAGAAGGCGGGAAGATTCGTTGAAAGTCCATGCGGTTCTGGTGTTCCAAATAACTCTGCGACAAGATCAACTGCATTTCCGGCGTGAAGCACTGCCTACATAATTGGCATTCCACGCGGAAGCAATCCTCGCATTCTCTGCAGAGCTCCGGCAACACCACGATGTTCTTATCGGCTACCTCCATATCTTTCTCCGCTTTACTTCTGCAGCATTAACATATCTCAGTAATATATTAATCGTCATTTTTAATATATTAATAATATTAGGTAAATCGGAAAGTTCCGTCCGTTTAGCGACAAGTAGCTATAACTAGAACTGTCGTTAATCTGTAATGTCTAAACGAAACTTAATGGTTTGTTTTGACATCTGTCAATAATATTCAGTACATAAAAGTATACATTTGCATCAATAACATTGTTTTTCACTGCATCGAAAATGTCGAAATTTGAGCGAAATAAGCGTCATTTGCGCGAAGTGTTAATCTTTTGCTTCAATTGGAAGAAAACTGTAGCTGAAGCTCATCGAATGCTTGTAGAAGTTTATGGTGATAATGCTCCTTCCGATAAAATATGTAGAGAATGGTTTCGACGGTTTAAAAGTAGCGATTTTGATGTAGAGGACAAAGAGCGTTCTGGACGGCCAAGAGTATTCGAAGACGAAGAATTGCAGGCATTGGTGGACGAAGACCCATGTCAAACGCAAAAGCAACTTGCAGAAACATTAAATTGTGCTCAATCTGCTGTCATTTCCGATCGTTTGAAAGCCTTAGGAAAGGTTTACAAGGAAGGAAAATGGGTCCCATATGAACTGAAGCCAAAAGACATCGAAAAGCGAAAAACCACCTGCGAAATTCTGCTTATTAGGCAACAAAAAGGGGTTTTTACATCGTATCATCACTGGAGATGAAAAATGGATTTATTTTGACAATCCCAAACGTCGAAAAACTATTTGCGAACCCTCAACATCGACCAACGCCAAAGCGGAATATCCACGGGAAGAAGGCAATGCTCTGTATTTGGTGGGATCAGAAGGGTGTGCTGTACCATAAGCTGTTGAAAAGTGATCAAACAGTCACAATGGATCTCTACAGAGAACAAATGATCCGTTTGAGCCGAGCATTGCGCGAAAAACGACTAGAATATGAAACGAGACAACAAAGTGATTTTACTTCATGACAACGCTCGGCTGCTTCACGTCACAAAATCTGTCAAGGAAATGTTACAAGCACTTCGCTGGGAAGTGTTACCCCATGCGGCTTATTATTCACCAGACTATGCCCCTTCCGACTACCACTTGTTTCGGTCGATGGCACACGCACTTGTTGACGAATGCTTCAATTCTTATGAAGATGTCGAAAAATGGATCTCTAACTGGATAGCCTTCAAAGATGAGTCATTCTTTCGCCGCGGAATTCGCTTGCTGACCGAAAGATAGAAAAAAGTCATCGCTAACGATGGACAAATATTTTGATTGATGTACTTTTTCATTTTGTTTCTTAAATAAAGCCATACATTTTGCAAACGGACGGAAAAAACGGATGGAACTTTCCGATTGACCTAATATACTAATCTTCTCTTCTCTTGCCTAACCAACTATCGCTGCTTCTCTCGTCAAATCTCGTGCTCACCTCGTCCTCAGAGATCCCCTCCTGATTCTCTTGCTGACGCCAACCAGCGCGAGTGTGTTGAATATGACCTGCTCGTAAAGCAGCTGATTCGGCGGGTAATGTGCGGACGACAGATTCGGCGACATATTTGCTTCCATCGTATAGACATTGAGGTCCTCGTCGAGCACCAGGTCGAATCGCATGAGTTCGAAAAAATTCCTGCCGTTGCCGATACGCCTGGACACCTCCCTGATCTGAGCTTCCTTCATCAGGAAGACCTCTCGGATAGCTTCGTACGCCCGTTCCCACATCTCTGCGGGGTCTTTGCCCTGCTCACGGACATAAGCGTCGAACGAATCCTTCATCGAGTAACCGAGTTCTGTGTAATATTTCTTTAAGGATGGCACCTTCCAGATCGGCAAGTAGTCATCGCCGACTACGTATTTATCCAAAACCTGGAGTCGAATTACCAAGACTGTCAAGTGGGTAAACTACTTCTCCTTTTTATCGTTTTCCTTCGGGATGCGAAAAACGTTTCGCATTTGAAAGAAAAAGATAATCATATCGTTAATTAGAAGAATTAAATGAAGCCGATACGTAGATAAGAGTGCATGAATTATGTGCTAAAAGCATTATCGAAATATGTAATGTGAATAATATATTGGGTTATGTAATAATTTTATATATGAAAATTCCATTTTTTTTAATATTCAAAATTATATATAGGATGTCACAGACCACCCGATTTTTTGTAAACACAACATTTTAGGGAAAAATGTTTTAGACAAAAGTTGTATGGCTTCAAAGGGGATATATAACAATTATATCATTTTGTTTACAGATGAAATTACACTTTCAAAATATTTACTGATCATTACTTTTCTTAAATGGAAATCCCAATATTATATCTTTTTTTATTATATCTTTTTCTACCAATTAACTTTAACAACTTCTGTTAAGAAACATTCTTTTATTTGCTTAATATTTTTTTAGATATTTTAGGAAAACTTTTTTAATATTTAACCTTTTTAACTTTTTTAATATTTAACTTACAATATCTCGCTATTTGTCAGAAAAAAATAGCATTAGACTTTTTTACCCTATTTGGTCTCAAGAGTATGTTATTACAATGGTACTCTAATTTTTGTTAACTTATCGACTTTTGGAAATTTCAAAATCATCAAATTAACAAAAGTCACGGCGCTATCGTAACGATATATTCTTGAGATCAAGTAGAGTAAAAAAGTCTAATACCACTTTTTTTCTGGCAAAAAGTTAACGAGATATTGTAAGTTAAATATTGAAAAAGTTACCAAGTTTTCCTTAAATATCTCAAAAAATATTAGGTAAATAAAAAAATGTTTCGGACAAAAGTTGTTCAAATTAATTGGTAGAAAAAGATGATATAATAAAAAATTGGGGTTTCCATTTAAGGAAAATAATGATCAGTGAATATCTCGGAAATAGCGCCATTTGTAAACAAACTGATATAGTTGTTTTATGTCTCTCTTGAAACCATACAACTTTTGTCTGATACATTTTTCTTTAAAATGTTTCGTTTCCAAGATACAACCCTAATAGCACAGATGTCCAGAGGACGTCCCCAGGAGAACATGTGCTATCAGGGAAGTCTGTAACTCTTTAACTGGCTCACCCGGTATAAAATAAACTAAAATATATCCATAAATCATGGTAACGCACTTTTATCCACGCGTTAACAGCTCTTACTGATGCTACCTCGGCATCGAAAGGATAATACGCGACCGGGCAGAAGCGGAAGAGCACGTCGCCCTTGTAGATGTAGAGTCGCAACGGATCCACGGATGTAACGACGATGTACAGGCCGACGTCGAACTTGTAACCGTCCACGAGGTACGGTCGCTCGATGAACTCCTGCACAAAGATGCCGTCGGTGAGGTCAGCATCGGTGAGGTCGTGGCTGTTGACTAGACGAATGCCTCGGTGGTCGTTCGACTTTTGCACAAACTTCTTGCCGGGATTTACGTCCATGTAACGGAGAAATCGCTCTCGATCGTCGGGCATCCTGAAGGCCGCCGGTATGTACCGCCCAGCTGACACCGACAGGTCCACCTTGTTCGTGACGTAACCACAGCCGGGGAAATGGTTCACACGTTGATGTTGCTGCAACCTGTGCAGACTCGCGGACAACGTGCGGAACGGGTAATCGTGGGCCCACAGCAAGTCCCAATCGGACTCGTTGCCGCTCTCGCGATAACCAAGTCGCGACAGCACCGTGCGCACATGCTTCAGGTAACCGGTGTTGTTATGCCTGGTATACACCCAGAACCTGGGTCGGTGATTTTCATCGACTTTTACTACGGACAGGGTCATATGCACTTGGTAACGCTCGTACATGAGGAACACACCGTAGAGGATCAACGGGCCTGCCGCGGAAGACAGAAAAATTTTCAAAGCTGTCTTCATCTTCAGGTTCATGATTCGCTTTCTTACAACGCATCCTACTTCCTGTAACAGGTCGTCGACCCAGATATATTCGCGAAATCTAATTGACCGGCCGGATTTTGTGTCTTGAGCGTATAAGACAATTTATCTCGTAGATGTACATATTCATATCAATTTGATCTTTATTTTTCGCTACAATTTTTTAACAACGTTCTATGTATTATACCTCTTTATCCTGCTCTTCTCTATGTTCCCTTTCAGCCGACATAATAATCTTCATTCAAGTAAGTACAAAACTGACTCCGCCGTACAGTTCGTCCCGAGGCGTGTTTACTTTCGAATAACATCGTGTGAAAGTACCGTTCGTTGTAACTCATCCCCGCTTCACCGGTCGTCCTCCACATGGGACGACGAATGTTGGTGAACGCGGCTATACGTCGGATGATTTTCTTTGCGTAATTGAGCAGTTTCATTTTCGCTCTTTTGATTTTGTGAGAAGATACAAGAAAATATATAATTATAGAGTTATATAAGCGTAGGAAATTATATAATACACAACGCCAAAACTTTCCTGGATTCGTGTAAATCATTCCCCTCTTGTTGCGATTTATAAGTTTTTTCTGGAATTAAATGATCTAATTTATAAATGAGATTATTTTGGTTACTCAACAAGATATACTCATTTATGTAGAAGTTAGAGGAATAAAGCAGAAAATATTTTATAATTTGTTGGAATTTTATTCATGAATTTGTACAAACCAACAGCTCGTCCCAACTTTGAGAATCATACATCAACCATAGATAGCAAAACAAAGATCTAATTACCTTTGTAATTTGATCTTTGTAAATTTATGCGACCAATAATCAATGGAACTAAAGGTTTTTGTATGTCATCATATATAAGCAAACCAGGATACTACATATGTAATAAGAACATAAAGGAAACTTGTTTTTTTTTAATATAAACACAAAATGCATGTAATGACAAAAGTATATATTTAAGATATTGCACATAAAGTGCAAAAATGATGTTACAATTGTATATTTAATATTATATCATTCTTTATTTTAGTCCACTTTTATACATCAGAAGTAGGATCAAGGATGAAAGATTCCTACTGAATTGAATTGCTTATAAACATATTTAGTCCAGCTATAAAAGAAAAAGAAATATATTATACGATTGCAAAATTTTGCACTTCTTTTATGACATATTGAAGAAACTGATATTAAAACTTACCTTCTTAAAACCTATATCCGCTGCATATTCTCTGAAACATTGTCGACAGATATTCAAACCATACTTGCGGATAAGTCCATGTTTGTTTGCACAGGCACGGCTGCAATAAAATTAAATTTGTTCAAATTAATACATATGTGCACTGTATTAAACCCATAATTATCAGTAAATATATATAGAAGAATATTATAACTATGATACATAATACTGCAATTTTATATATAAAGATATTTATGTAAATCTTGTAATTATATACAATAAGAAGCACATGTTATCGTTTCTTGTGATTATAGAATATTTAAGTTTAAAGGTACAGAAAAAAAAAGACAAAATGTAGAAAACACACTCAAAATGTTTGTCTTATAACGTCACATGGTTGAGAGGTTAGAATAAGTATTTTTATAAATTACAAGTATTTGCCATATAAAGTGTTTGCGTTGTATATATTTATAACCATATCTTACAAGACGAAAATTTTCACTTTTACATGAAATTTTTATGATTAATATTGCACGTTGGTATTTATGGCTATGCACTGAACGGTCAATCGAATTTAATTGAAAATATTCGATTTGTTGTACAAAATTACAAGCAACAGATATAGGCGAAGTAGGAAGAAAAGTGTTATACTAACCAGGATCTGGAACCTTGGCCGTATTTTCGCGGATGCGAGTACCAAATATTCTGGAAACCCATTCTTGCGCACGTGTGACTTCACCAGCGTTAACTAGCTAAAAGAACAGTACGACAGAAGATCAGCGCGTCACAAATGCTCACGAAAGCAGAAATAGTCACAGAGCATAATAAGAAGGGCCAATTGAACCATCAGATGAACGTTTCTGACGAACTCTGGTGGCTCTTGGATAAATTAAATTATCATGGCGAACCTGCCGCTAAATATGAAAAGCTTGTACTGATTATTTTGTTCCAGGGGATATTGTGGTGGATAACCTTACTTCGTTTCGATATTTAAAGAAAAAACCAATTTTCTTCTTCCACTTATATACACATGTGAACAAAATTACACGACGGAAAATAAGAATTTGACTGAATGTTACAAATATTTCATCATCGTTCTTTAATTATTCCCAGACCTAACGAACCTACTTTTCACACAAAGCAGATTTTCCCAGAGATGATTGTTATTACCGTTGCTTCGTTAGCGTGTAAAGTTCATCTGGATTAAAAAATTAAAATCCATGTAAGATATTGACAAAAATAAAAACAGGTAGAAGGAATTGTGTTATCGTGCTCCGTAAAAAATAGCAGTTTATAAGGCAAGGAACAGAAAAATGGAAATTTATTGAGGTTTTGCTGCATTATACCGTGTGACAACAATTCCAGTGTGTCTCATTCTGTATCGTAGAGTTAATGATGTTATAGTTAAAATGTAATTAATTCAATCTCAGATGTAAGTGATAACATTGTATCAGTCAACTGTTGGTGTTCAGTAAGTTCTTTTTTATGTTTTTGTGTTGCGTCTGTTGTAATGTGCGATACTATGCTGCTTATTGTTTTTTGCTATCAAGGATTTATATATAAATAACTTCGAACATTTTGTTGAGCGACCTGTTGTCCACCTACCTGTCTCTATGATATATACCAAACCAGAATATTTAGAAGCAAGGATTAAACTAAAGAAATAAATTTTTTGCATGTACAAATCTATCAGATTATGTTAAGTATTTGACACTTGGTTAAAAGTAGGTAACGGTATTGAATGTGTTTCAACATGAGAACAGTACATACTGTCCATTAAGTGTCAACTCTCTAACTTCTTCAAAGTCCAAGCTTCATGTCGATAATTCCTTATAGGCGTCAGATTATATAGTGAATTCAAAAAAGTTTGATAGAAATGGTAAAGTCCCTGGCTATGCCTCTGTGGAATTTAGCTATCACCAGTGAACCTTATGTGGTGCTTGCTGCTTTGAGTGGTGCAACAGCCGTGATTCTGGGTGCTATTGGAGCTCATAGTAAGCATATTATTTTAACGAATGAAAAATCTAGATAATCTATTCATTTACTTTGTAGGATATGTAAGAGACGAAGTAGGACAAGAGCAACATCGAATATTTGAAATTGCAAATCACTATCACTTAGTACATACTTTGGTTCTTTTGGCATTACCATTGTGCAGAATCCCATTCTTGGTACGTAGAATAAGTTTTACTGTATCTGCCTGCTGGGATTGTGTGCCGCATTGTATGATAAATGCGTTTATCCTGTGGATATGTTACAATTTTATGTATATTTGTTGCAGGTTGCTACATTTATGCTTTCTGGTATTATACTATTTTGCGGTAGTGGCTATTACATTGCATTTACGGGTGATCGACGATTTAGGAGAATAACACCAATTAATGGCTTTTGCTTCATACTAGGATGGTGCAGTATGTGTCTTTAAAAAATATATCAATGAAAAGAAAGTTATTTGTGCTAGCATAAAAGATCAACTACAATTATATATCACTGTTTTTGACAGATATTCCTGCAATCTTTAGAAATAATTGTTATAACTTAAGAAATCACAATTATCTTAGATTGTCTTGAATATTTTGTAGAAAATTGCAATATAGCAATGTTTATATATGATTCTCAATGTTATGCTTCTTGTCTGATGTATCTAGGAGATATATTCCTATAATTTAGCAAGTTTACAGTGTTTATATTTATTGAAGGCTTTCAAAAAGAAACAATATCTTCTGATTTGAATAAAGTAAAACTTGTTTATACTAATGAATCGATATAAATATAACTTTTGTTTATAATATTAATGACATAGGTTTGGATCACACGTATCCTGAACCATTACACACTTTATAATGATGCATACCTAAGTTTTCTTGCACGTGTTCCCCCCTGTCGGTGATTACTTTTGTTTTCCTTTGCGCAAGATACTATCACTCGCGAGGTCGTCACAAAGTGAGATATATGTATATATAATAAGAAAAGTAATTATATAGATATAACCATATTGTCCACGCGTTGATGAAAAAAAAAAAAAAACGTAATGTCATGGTAATGTAACGTATATCGACGTACAGCATGTGGTGTAAATCTAAAAAATACAGACATTACGTTTTATTGATATTGACAAAAGTAAATTACAACCGTACTCTTTTATATCGCTGGTAGAAATTAATTAATATATATGATCTTCGAGTAATCGAATAGTTTCTGCGAATACAACAAAAGACTGAGAAAGCTCTTCTTTCTTTATACACGAACACGGCGGATCTGAGAATATAAATCCAAAAACAAAACGGTCACGGATAAATCCGATTGCCTTACACTTTTGTAATTCTTATATAGACACTCTCTGTTTCTCCAGTCAGAGACATAAGAAAGTAATGTGTGTACCTCATATTACTTATTCCATATACCCCCAGCTTTTTTTTTCTCACTTACTTTATATATCCATTCTATTTCATATCATACAATATACTCTTACATTTTTTTTCTTTTTTCTTTTTCATAAATATGAAACGATTTGCCTTGGTAAGTAAGTGGATATCGGAATTTTTTCCCTCAAACTTTTTGCGTGTGTCATGACGGCGGTTCTCATACTTGTGATTCTTGACATCTGGCTGTACTCCTAATAACTACATAATATAACATAATTGGACTATTTTTATCTAGAATAGAAATCAAATAATATTAATAATGAGATGATACATCGATTGAAACTTAAATATATAGGAAGCGCTGCGCGACACACACGCGCGCGTATTCGCGCAGTGCTCTCTGACGCTGGAACTTAAGCGGCGAACACAAAGAGATCGATTATAAAAAATCAGAGAACAGCAGCAGGAGACACAATGTTACTTTATGTCTGGAATTGGCGTTGTTTCCGACGACAAGAGGCACGCCCGCACACTTTCGTTGTGGCACGCGCGCGCGCGTTTCTTTACTGATTTTAGCTCGTGGGTGGCTTTTGTTTTCTCGTGACCTCATGGGAACACGGAGTTGGCGATGATTCTTGTGTTACGTGTTTTGTGTGTGTATATATGTAGCATATGTTCTGTGTCCTCTGTGTGTTGCATGTTTGTGGCGATGCTTTTAAATGCATCACTGATATAAAATTTTTTACTTATGTCTAGTAAACGTCCTTCTCAGGCTATATCATTATTTAGTTAGTATAGCGTTTTCATAGCAATATCGTTTCTCCGTTACTATTATATAAAGTATTTATATCGACTTATGTATATTAAACTATATTTACAATCTTTTTCCACTTTTATTGTAACACACTGAAGATAAGTTTTTTTCTTTTTTTTTCCTTTTTTTCTCTGAAATGAGGTCGGTCGCGAGATCGCACCCGGTTCGTAGCACCGCGAGAGATAAAAAGAGAGATTGATTGTTAGAGAAAGAGAGTAAACTCACGCGGTTCGGCTTAATACCCTTGCACTTTTCTTCCTAGTAGAGTACATAATAATTCAAATCCTCAAGTAAAAATATAAACACCAAAAAAAAAAAGTACTTTTATTCGAATGGATCACTCGAGACGTGAAGAAAAGAGTATTTTTAAAAGAATTATCGTATAAAGAATATAATCGTCTTTTTGTTGAGTTGCTCGCCGAAACACAGTAGCAGGTTTCACATATGGACTTTAAATGATTGGGATAATTGGTCTCAACCGGAGCAGCGTGGGAATAGTGAAAAAGGTACGCCGACTTTTCCATTCGTTTCTAGGAGAGGTGGAACGAGTGCTGACCCTCTTGTGCGGCTATCCGTAGTTTCTCCCGCATTATTTCCAAGGTGGTATAATCAGGCAGTTTCAGGTAGTTGACGCAGGTCATTACAGATGGTAGGAAATCGTCCGTTTTCATAGATGAATCAAAAGTTTTGCGCACTATCGTTAAGGGTGGAGTTAAGCTCTTGAAACCTACAAGATACGAGTATATATAGAAGCTATGTGAAAATTTTATCCGTTACGTTGAAGCGTGTAAGAAACAATGCAGTGAATAAATTGGAAATGCGAAAATATAAATAAAAAAAAAAATGAAAAAAGAAAAAGCAGAAATACTCACCTCCGACGGGCAAACGCGGCGAACCGGTGACGAACTGAATAAACTGTCGTTGCTCTTCGCTGTTATATTTCGACATGACTTCAAACAAGAACCGGATGGCGCGTGAGTCGGGCGTGTAACCGTGATCAGTTCTACAGCACTCAGCGAGGGTCTTTACGTCCCACTGCCCGCCGGTTTGTGCGTGTCCACAGAATACCGCTTCTAGTTCTTCCGGGAAGAACAGCCTCAATTGTGACGGAGGGAATACCGATTCGAAACCTTCCCGGAAAGCTTCCATTTGTCTGAACACTCCTTCGTGCAAGAACCAGTGCACCACCAACTGAAATTTTCGTAAGAGCCGCGTAAGTTCATCTCTAATAACGATATTTCGGTGGAGAGAAAGACGGTAGAGGAAAGAAGGAAAGAGAAAGATGTGGGAGAGAGGAGAGAGGAGAAAGGAGAGAAGGAGAGGAGAGAAAGAGAGAGGGAGAGAGAGAGAGGGAGAGAGAGAGAGAGAGAGGAAGAGAGAGAGAGAGAGAGAGAGAGAGAGAGAGAGAGAGAGAGAGAGAAAGCAGCACATATTACCTTGATATATTGATCCAGATTGTGAATATTAACGGGTATCTCACTGCCGCCTTTTCTCAACTCTATATTCTCGTAACCCGGCAACTCAAACACAAGTCCCAACTCCGAGATCAGACAATTGTCTAAATCGAGCGCTTCTATCAGCTGCGTCTTCTCATGTGGCCGTAACGTCTGGTCCTTCTCCATAGTTTCTTTTCGCCTGACTACGTCTTGGAGCTTGCTGAGAGTACGATACACATCAGGACACACGTGTGCCAAGTCCGCTAACGTGAGCGTGTGTTCCTCCCCCAACAACCAGCGATAGAAAGTTAAACTAAATGGCAAGTCCAACTAAGAGAAGGGAAGAAGAGATGAAACATTTTAAAAGTGAGTATTCTCTACGAAGGGATAAGCGCAAGCGAAATTCTTACCATTCTGGAGTCGTATATCGCTTTCGCCATGAATTTCCCGAGAAATTTGAATTTGGTTTTCAACTTTGCTAAGTGTGACACCTTGGTGTTCCACGGGATAGGCGCCGGAAACAATCCGTGCACCGGGTTGACATATCCGTTTTCGGTAGGGTTAGAACTGCCGTGCCACAAATCCAAATCGGCACGTTGCAGCTCTTTGGAGACTAGAGCGTAAAATTCCAAGGTTGGTCCAAGACCGGTACCGACCTATAACAACACAATTGTGTAGTGATACTAATAAGAAAATTCGTTAGAGAATCAATAACACTTTTGTCCCATGCAGCTGGATTCTGTAATTCGTTATTGGAGTTAACGACACTTTCGTTATCGTTGCGCAGCTTTTCTACGGTATACAAAAGCTGCGCAACAAAAGTTAACGAAAATGTCGTTAACTCCAATAACGAGTTACAGAATCCAGGCTGATGGAGAGATAAGATTAAATTCAAGTACGGTAAGATTAAATCAAATTTTTCTCTTTTTTTAATAATACTTTCAACAACACTTTTGCGACACATGAAAAGGTAAGATTAAATTCAAGTACAGTTAAATAAAATTTTTCTTTTTTCTTTTCAATCGAATTGGGAAAATTGCCAAAATCAAATTTTTCTCTCTTTTTTTTTTAATAATACTTTCACACTTTTGCTCCATGAAGAGGCAAAATTAAATTCAAATATGGTCAAATTTTGGTTTTCAATTGAATCGGGGAAACCGTCAACAAAATGTCCTGCTTTTTCAATTTCACATAAACGCGCAGCTGACTAACCTCGTTTACATATTGCACTTCAAGCAGAGCCTTGCTGGATGCTAAGTCCTGAATCACTTGTTCTGCCTGTTTAAGTATGTCCGTTCTTGAAATGGTTCTCTTTCTTCGTTCTAAGCGTGGCGTCACGCGTTCCTGGCTGTCCGAGCCCGAAAGTTCAGGCGCGGAGTCTAGAAGACGCTGCAGAGCTCTGTCTCGATCGAATGACGTTGCGTACAACAGTAGTTGCCTCGTCTCGAACGGGAAGAGAAAAGGGCTAACAAGAAAAAAGAGAGAACAATTCAGTCAGATTATTATATCTGAGTTGCAAGTTGAGTGGATCAATTTATTCTTCACTAACCAAACAGTCGCAATTTGTTGCAGCCAAGACGGTAGATTCCCAGTCATAATGACCAGCGGATCCTGCAGTTGTCTGCTTGCTTTCGCGGCTATCTTGTTGTTAATGAAGTCCTGAGGCGACAGTAGACTCATGCTCTTCAGATGCGGAAACAGAATACCCCAATGGCGATTGAGAGCGTGCAAAAGTCGTAGCAAACACAACCCGTCAAGAGAGGCGTCCGTGATGGTTACTGACGGCGGTAGTGAGGGAGACAGGTATGGCGCGAGAGGACAACGTTGAGGTGGTACCGTGCCTTCCAGCCAGAGACTATCCTCTTTCCTCTTCGAACTAATTTTTGTACTTTTCCCTTTGCCTTTTCTGCTACTACCCTGTGAACTCGATCCTGATTTTGGAGAAGTCGTAGCATCTTCTTCCGGTACAGGTCTATATACAAAAAAAGAAAAGAATAAATAAAATGGAGAATATAAGTTTTTTACAGATCATGAACAATCGTATAAGAGTCGATGCTTATAAGGATTATTAAGCAAACTGAACATAAAGAAATGATACAATAGAATCGTCAATGTGACTCGGCGAGAAGATCAAATTATATTAGGAGATTGAATTAGTTCTGGTCCTTAGCAATAGATGGCTTTAATAAAAAGTTAATGATTAGTACGAATGTTGAAATCTGGCAATACTGAAAGATTTGACATTTCTCTATGACATATGACAATTTGCACGTTATTGTTACTGCGATAGTTTCATTGTTTATATGCGTCTAAAATGGATCGCACAAAATTGCATTTTCGGCATTCATTATTTTTTTTGTTTGAATTTTTTGTTGATTTGAAAAAATCGGCAACTGAAACTCGTAAAATGCT